AAGAGTCAGGGACACCAAGGTGATTAAGTTGGGATGGTTTTGGTTTCTTGTTGGCTCATCCCCAGGGTATCACCCTCAGGGACCCCAAAAATCCCTCCTTCTTCATTCCTCTCACCTGGCAGGGCCTCCAGTCAATGTAGCATCAATCACATGTTCATTGTTTATCCGGAACATGTAGATGCCTCGATTCTAGAAAAGCGGAAGTTGCAGAAGGGGCAAGAGAATGGCCATGATGTGGTTGTGGGATCAGGTAGCAGACTCAGGCAGTGGGCTTCATTTATTTTTCCTTTCTTCTACCTTTCACCTCCTCTTCCCACAACATTCCATACCTCCTCCCCTGGACCCCATCCTGACCCTCATTCCTTGGCTGAGTGTGGACCATGCACCATGATGGCCCCTTTGTCAGCCCATACCTGCTCCTCATATATTTTCTCCCGCCGGTTAGCCACCTCGTTGCGAATGATGGTGCCAATATACTCAATAACCATTGTGTGCTTTTCTAGGTCCTTGGCTGCATAGAGCCCCAGGCCCTGGATGCGGGAGCGAGCCAGATACACATTGTTCTTCCACTCAGTGCGCAGCCGCCGGTACTGAGATGACTTGGAGTGCACAAACTGCTTGCTGTACGGGGTGTTCGTCTCGCCTGTGAAGGTGCTCTGATATGCCTTGGACATGCTGGTGCTGTTCAGGGTGTGGGGCCTGGGAGGTGACACAATCCATGACAAGACAGCTCTCCCTCAGACCAGCCACACACTGCCCGCCTCCTCCCTGGGATGTGCAACATGCCAGTTAGGGGCATGTGCTGCCTTAGGAATGGAGTGGAGGCATTTGGGTCTTGGCTTTGGTGAGGCAACAGCTAGCTACAGGGACCCTTCTGACACCCTGGGTGGCACAGAGAGCCGAGGATGTGGGATGGGGAGGTGAAGGGAGGGGAGGCACCAATTCCCCTACACTGAGCCCACTATCTCAACTCCTCACATCTACCGCCCTCCTGCCAAAACCGTACTCAAGGCCATGTGCTCCTCTGGGACGAATTCCCCAAGCAGCCCCGGCCTGGAATTTAAGCTCACGGTTTGCTCAAACATCTGAGTCCTACCTCCTACATATACTGGAAGCTCTGAAAATGGAGATCATGTCTACCACATTGGGCTGGATTTGAATTAAAACTGGCTCTGGATTCACAGCCAAAAGGTGGTATCCTTTCCTTTCTTCAGACTGTCCCCTTCCCTGACGTACCATTGGGCTCTGTGCAGATGGCTCAGTGCAGGGGAATAACTGTTGCCTGGCAGGATGCCTTTTTACCACCCTTGGGCATTAGCCAAATTCTTGCCCATCCCAGAGCAGTGGTTTTCAAACAGTTTGACTCTTTTTTATTTAGCAGAAATCTTTTTATTTCTTTAAAAATGTTACCTGGAACTCCAATACATAAACTAGATAAAAACAGAACTCTTCTGGTTGAATCCAATTTGGGGAAAGGAGAGATACACATGGGAAGGGCCAAGTTCTACCTGCCAATTTTGTGTGTTCCAAGCCTTTTTGGAACACACACAGTTTGAAAACCACTGTTATAGAACATCAAGGACTAGGGCTGACTGGGGTAGAGTCTGACACTCTACGAC